TTTTTTTTTTTTTACTTTTTCGTGCTCTATTATTCGTCTTCCTTACAGGCCGCCGTGTGTGTCTGGGGGAGTCCCTTGCAAAGATGGAACTATTCCTGTTCTTCACCAACTTGCTTCAGCAATTCTCGTTTACGATACCCGCCGGGGAAGAGAAACCGAGCCTCAAGTCCCAGTGGTCAATCGTGCGGTCTCCACGACCTTTTAGGGTCGAAGTGCACAGGAGGCGCTGATGCGCGGGCACTTGTCTGTGCATATCGATGAATAGGAGTTATCCCAAAAGTTAATCTTAAGCTGTGCAGAATATTCAAATGTAATTATGTCCACACTATATGCTTGGCATCACGCACGAATTCCTTTTATGCTAGATTCGCCACTTTTATATTAAAAAGTCACAGAACGTTTACCTTTATTAACACTAGGTTTTAACGTAGGCCTTATGATGAATACGTAAGACGGCAATAAGCCTTAAGCAGGTGTTCTGAAGCCATAAAATAGGGTCGTAGGCTGAATTATGTTTGTGGAAACCCGCTAAAATCTATAATATAAACATAACACGACTGCAATTTATTTGCTCCGCCTGTGAAACTCTTGAAGAATGAAGAAAATGTAAGACACTTCTGCTGTGCTGGGAGAAAGGAAATTACTTACACTTTGTTAATTCCCGTCAAACAAAAATTTCTTTTCCAAATAATTTAAGGGGGAAAGAGGACCCCCCCCCTGTTGAAGCTTATGAACATGAGTTCTAGATAGAGGTGTAATATTATTTATATTTCTTTTCATTAATCACTTGCCATAATAAGGCTATTGGTATAGCAGTAAGTGATGTATCTTGCCTGATTATATCTTGCCAAAACGCCATGTATGTTCTTTATGTTTATTATTGTTGTTGTTGTCGTTGTCAAGAGGACCCCCCCCCCATATTAAAGCCTATGAACATGGCTTCTAGATACAGGTGTATATATATTTTTATATTTCTTTTCTTTAATCATACCAACCTAGATGTCTGTTTGAACATGTAGGATAATTATAATTAGCGCAAACAACAACTACTACTTAAATGTCTTATATATTTTACATTTGGGAATAAAGCTTAATTTTTAAAGACCTTACTGTATGGCTTTAGTTTACGGATGAATTCGGTTCGCAAGAACCCTAATTTTAAGAGTGTATTAGGAAGGCTGGGAGCTACATGTAGGGGTTAGGGAAGAGGCCTACTTGACTAATCGCTTTTCGGTCGTTTTTTATATCAAAACAGGCTGTTGTATCTTTCTCAAACGTTTTTAAGATCAATACAGCAGCATAGCAACGGTGAAACTCTGCACTGGTGTTAAATTTCCAAATAAGGCAATGCATAGTACGTTAGTAGGTCAAGGTCAATACAGCAGCATAGCAACGATCAAATTCTGCACTTTCGCAAAATTTCCAAATTAGGCAATGTATATTATAAATACGTTAGTAGGCCTGTACAAACCTTGCTATCGCCTCCGTGCTGTTGTCAGATCTAAAAATAGACGTGACCTACTTTATAAGTGACTGCACGCATTTGACAGCTCGACTATAGCCAAGGAATACAGGTAGGCTACGAAACATCGACGACAGGTTCGTAATGACAATATTTTTATGCTTTATAGGCACCACATGCGCTGGGGTAAATGCACAATATCGTTATGCCTTTGTTGATCTAATAACATCTATAAGTCATGGCCTTTCAGCCATATTTTATAAGACTGGCAATGTGAGTACAAAATGTCGCCATTAAGACATGTACATGTGCAATGTTTATTTCAAGATGTCAGAGACTTTACCCATGTCGTCAAAATTTCATCCAATATTAGCCATGGGGTCTGAATCGATGGTGAAAAGAATAGGAAGCGTAGACTGAGATTCGAGAGAAATGCCCGTTCGACCGGAACAGGTCCACTTAAAGTGAAAACGCGATCATCAGCTGATAAAGATCAGACATATGTAGGAAGTAAATAGAAATGGCGTAGAAGTGGGGTGTGGCTCGGGTGTCGGGGGAAATGCATACTTGGTCGGAAAATTAATGCACACTGCTGAAAATTACATAATCTAGGTTTTATGCCATTTTTCCAGGATCCACTAATGAGGGGTAAAACATTCATAATCAAGTAACTGGGTGTGGTAGGCCTACTCCCCCCTTAATTAGCTTCTCCACGTGCTCCCTGTGTTTTAATATAAACGGTAGTGACTGAAAAAAAGGACTTTGGGCTGATCCTCCCCATTGCAGGTCTCAAGCCTACCAATTGAGACTATAGTCATTTCGTTATTTACATGTTCATTCTGATAACATGTTTGATAACAAGCGTCGTGTAGGCCTACATTCTTTCTCTAGTTGCTGAGGTCCCAGCGAGAGGGAGGCTTACAGTGTATGGCCTACATGTGTTTTTCACAAGATTATAGTGTTATCACAATTATTATTATTACTTCTATATAATCATAATTAATTCATTATTTACTATATTTTATGATAACGCATTATTATTACTTTTATATAATTATAATTAATTCATGAATTTACGATTAATTAAAATTTATTAAATAAATTAAAAGCACATAATGCTGTGGCGACGTGCCACCTGCTTTGAATTTATTTTGTATATATAATTATTGTAGAAATAAATCTGTTAAAAAACACACGAATTAACCAAGACACCGCACACTTATTTTGCACCAACAGAGCGATAGCTAGCAATAACTTTCATCCGCTCTGGTAGTGGTGGTTAATTTGGGGAGGGGGTTAATGTGGGTGTTGGTGCTAAAAGATCTGCAGGTAGTGTTAGTAAACGCCTAAGCCATTTATATGATTTGCATTTGATTTTCTTTTGAAGATGGTTGCAATAATGGATATCTCCCCAACTACTTCAATGCTGTTGGTTTTCGTCATCACATTCCTCGTGGTTTGGCTGTGGAGAAGGAAAGAAAAGGTATGATGATTACTGAAGAGGAAACAGTTTATTCTCCAATGGTAGTTGAACCATCCCTTCTTTCATCAGTTATAACGCAGATAGAGGAAAAGAGAGAGAGAGAAAAAGAGAGAGGAGGGGGGAGAGGGAGTAAGGGAGAAAAAATTCCGTGTCTGTGGTTAATAATATTGATACAGAAAGAGTTGAGGAGCTTCACGCGAAATCAAAAAAAGGTATTTCGAGTAAAGCTTTGCAACCAGGGCCCTATTGCTTTATGTGGCTATAACCACAGTACGATTTGAAAAGTACAGGCTGCGCGTGCTCTTTTTCACGTTTGTGTATGCTGTGAATAGTCTACATGTGATTCTCTACTCGAACCGTAGTTTGAATAAGTTTTTTATTTATTTTCAAGCCGAGAGCAAACCTTCCACCCAACAAGTGGTTCCCCTTCAGTGAGTTCTTAGGTCTGTTTGCGGAGCTGGATGAATTTTTAAAGAACGTGCCCAAGAGCAAACCTCTCACATATTTCTGCAACAGATTTACAGGAGATAGCGTATTCATTTTTCACAACCACGAGCTCATCCACGAAGCTTTCGTCAAGAAAGGGAATTCATTTTTGGGAAGACCAGGACCTTATTTAGGGAAGGAATGGGCTACACAGAACGGTAAGTTAAAAGCGTGGAGGACAAAAGATGCGTTTGGGAAAGAGATTTTTTTTTACTTTGAATACCAACGATGACACAGACAATATTGTCTAGAACGTGAACTACCAGAATTATTTTTATGTTAAGTAGGGCTAGTATGACATGACGGTGGTCCCCCACGAACCGTGGTCCGATTTCCATTACTTTATAAGCATTTGCTTCCTTTACTAGGGCGCTAATATCAGTTCCCTAAACCAGGTTCAAGTATTGATTTTTCACTAGATATTCACATATATTTCTCGGCTTTGACAAGATACTTTTTTGGACTGTGTTCCATTTGGTATTTTTTCACAGAGGTCCAGCAAAATGTTTTGCATAGAAGTGGCATTATCATTCGACTCAACAACTATTTGCTAGCCCTCACACTTCTTAATATCGTTATTTTGTATTACGTAATCTAATGGGCCCGGCCTTCCATTCCTAGGACTAAAATTCTTGGTACACAAGTATCTGTTTTGGAAAGGAAAGTCTTTTCTCATAAACCAGGATTCTTGTCCGTTTTGGCCCAAAACGCAGAGATTATGTGCTCGTTTCTTAGCACAAAGAGGTTATGTTTAGAATCGTACTTTCAAATGGGATTTATAATCATAATTTTAAAAATAGTAATTTTCACATGATGACATAACTTTAGGTGCAATGCACACCCAAAACGCGCCTTAAAGTCATAGACGCCTTAGCTACATGTTCGTCGTCTACACGGAACAGGTACTAGATTCAGTTCCAAACTGTTAACAAATTCTTTATCCTATCTCACAAAGGTGTGGCCCATGGCATTGCAAACGCTTCAGGTGATCTGTGGAAACAACAACGGAGATTTGCCCTGATGACTTTACGTGACTTTGGACTGGGGAAGACCTCCATCACGGAGAAGATTCACGAAGAGATAGGATATCTTCTTGATGAATTCCAGAAATATGACGGCAAGGCCGTAGATCCGCAATACCTTTTGATGCCTGCAATATCCAATGTTACCAATTCCATTGTGTTTGGAGATAGGTGAGAGTCTCGAACCCCGTTCAGCTATGCATTCATGAGAACCGTTTCACTAATTCCAAAGATGAGGCCAGATTGGCATTTTAAGCAATGCACTGATATATTTGTGTTAATCCCTTGAATATATATATATATATATATATATATATATATATATATATATATATATATATATATAATCCACCATCTTAAACATTTTAACAATTTTAACATTGTAACAAATCGTGTCCTTAAGTGAACATAATATATAAAGTAAAACAATATATAGAAAGTAAAATTGTGTTGAATGCACGAGTTATTTTTATATTACTATTTTAAAGCATTGAAGGTTAAATGTATATACAAACAATTCAATGTCCTGTGGGCAAAATATTAATTTACATTTGTTGATATTGTTTATACGATGGGCAAAAAAATGTTCAGCTGAATTTTATTTTGACTTTTTTCAGATTTCAATTCGACGATCCAAAATTCCAACAGATTCTCAAGAACATTGGGGAACAGTTTAGATATATAATGTATATAACGTTCATAACTTTATTTCATACACATAATATCATACCTTCAGTTTTATCAACATTAGACATATCTACAATGTCAAAACTAATTGTACATCAAGTAGACAGTAGTAACAAGTCGCTCTAAATAATGGTGTCCAGCAATTGTACCGTATTCAACATGGAATATTCTTACAATTTTCTTGTCTCACAAGCCAAGAGTACGTTAAACTGGTGGCTTTACAAAACAACTCAAGACCAAATTGTTTGGTTTACTTCGATTCAGGACATGTGACTCCACTTTTAATATATATATATATATATTGTGAAACTGTGTTCTTGACAATGGCCTAGATAGAGATCAAGGCCACAGGTCTGTGTAACCTTTCTTTTTCATCTTCTTGGTGACAGACTTAATTTACCATATTTCAGGAGGGCACAAATTACACTCACGTATCCGATTTTGAGATACGTTCCTGGGGACCCATTTAAAGTCCACTACTCTCTTAAACGCCTGGGAATTACACGGAAATTCCTTCAAGAGAGAATCCAGAAACATATGGCAGAATACGACCCGGACAACATACAATGCTTCACGGATGCCTACATCAAGGCTTTAAAGGCCGAGAAAGACAAAGAGGGAACGTATTTCACAGGTAGGAAAAACTCCTTTTTTAATTCCATATTTTACGTTAATGTGATCCGAGCTTAAACCGGAACAAGAGCAGCCTTTTTAAATTTACAATCGTTGCTACTTGGAGAATATGTACGTCATCAGTAATTGATTGAAATTTACTGTCACAATTTTCAATCAACGATCTCCATGTGCAAGCCTATAATTTCGGGCGCAAAAGGTCTGTCACCATTTTAAAAGTCTAAGACGTACGTTTCTCTTTTTATGTGTTTCAGAATTCCAGTTGTTGACGATATTAGAAGAGCTGTTTACAGCTGGCACAGACACTACCGTGACCACTCTCAGATGGGGACTGCTCTTATTGATTCTTTATCCAGACGTGCAGGAAAAGGTGGCTGTAACACTATATGTATACAGATCTGTGCATATGTACTAAATGCTGGTATATGTACTGTGCATATATTTATATATGTTTTGATTATCTGCGTCTATCCGTGCCGTCGCCGATGCCCTCGTTGTTCAAACACCACTTTACTCCCAAACCTAATTTTTCTTTTACTTTAGATAAAATGAGTTTTGCTTGACTTAAAAAAAAGCAGACTTCGTAAATTGGCGGCCATTTTTTTCGAAAGACATTGATTTCATTTTTATATACAGACTGAATGTGTCTGTATATAGGCCTATCTGTTTCGTTTTACTTGCAAACTTTCAAAATACATTTTATTATACTTATCTTTTGTGAAGGTTCACGATGAACTTGACAGTGTGATAGGTTCCCGCCGTGTCTCCATGGAGGACCGTGCCTCCTTGCCCTATACGGAAGCCACACTGCTGGAGATACAGCGCCTTGGGTGTGTCATTCCCATGGTGGGACACAGTAATACGGAGGACGTTGAGATGATGGTATTGGAATATCATATGTAAACAAAAAAAAATAAATAAGCCTAATACAAGCTTCTGAAAGGATAATCAATAATTTGATTCTTTTTCTTTTCTTTCTTTCTTTTTTTTTTTTTTTTTTTTTTTTTTTTTTTTTTTTTTTTTGCATGTAAAATGGACTGGAAATGTTGTTCCTCATAATAAGGGCATTTTTGTGTGAAATTACATTTCTACTTCCCTTCTACTGTTTGCATTATTTTGAAAATAAAAATTACTTGGATCAACTTTTTAAAGACATTTTACACAATATTGCTTCTTTTTTTTCAGGGCTATACCATCCCCGCGAATTCAAACATAACGGCAAATTTTCTTTCTGTCTTTTACGATGAGTCATTTTGGAACAACCCAAACAAGTTTGATCCAACAAGGTTTCTGGACGAGAGTGGGAAGTTGGGGAAAATTCCAGATTGTCTGACACCATTCTCTCTTGGTAGGTTTGCCGTTGATTCAGAACGTTTCTAACGGCGCAGGTCTATCGAAACTTAGGGTCCGTGTAACAGAAGGTTCGCTCACCGTGGCTAGAACACCTAACACAATCACCTGCAGGGCCACTACGTTTGGCGTTGAAGCTTCGTTTCTGTACATGTAGAGTCTACTTTCTGTTAAGACTAGCGCAGATGCATACGTGGGAAGTCATTTCTGTTTACTGCAGATATGGGTCACTGCAGCGCGATATAAAACTATTGCATAAGCGAACACAATATAACTGGTAGGCGTAGTGTCATTTTTCCAACATAAAGAGCAGAAACTCGTGAAATTGCATAACAAGTTCTCTTAAGATTTTATTCATTTTCCTTGCAGGCGGTCGTGTGTGTCTCGGAGAGTCCCTTGCAAAGATGGAACTGTTCCTGTTCTTCACCAACTTGCTTCAGCAGTTCTCGTTTACAATACCCGCCGGGGAAGAGAAACCGGGCCTCAAGGCTCGTATTGGTCTCTTGCGATATCCACTTCCTTTTAAGGTTGAAGTGCACAGAAGGCACTAAACTTCCACGTCTTCTTTAATGAATGACACAATGCATGACATCGATGTTATTCAAAAGACAGATCCAGAAACTAAATGTTAATGTTTATAGTGAAACAAAGTTTTGACTGACATTTATGATCATTAGCTATCGAAATTTCCATTTTTGTCATTTGTCGATTTTATTTAAGCTTCGTCTTCACTTTTAAGTATATAGACTATATAGCATTTATTTATTTTAACGTGACATGTGAATAAATATAAATATGTATGTCTCTCGGCCAAATGGGCCTACAAGTCACCGAACTTTGCACATTTATCAAAAACATGAAATTAAGGTTACAAGTTATAACAAGATCAAACCCGGTTAGATATATGGCATAACAGTAAATCTCAGTAGTAATTGATGATACATTTTCTTCAAATTTGTATGTCTTCAACAGGGTGGTTCAATATAGAATAGGTCTCCAAGTGTGACAATGACTTTTCACTGATTAGAAAAGCTAACTATTGTTCGAGAATTATAATGAGAATACAGCCTTTATAAATCTTACCTCTTATTTTTGTAGCTTTTCGCCCTAGCTACCGGCACATTGCATCGTAAAGTTGTTGTTGCGTTTTTTTAATAGTTCATTTTCACATTGATTCTCATAAACTTATTACAATATTCAGTTTACTTCATTTTCTTACTAATTTTTTTATTTTTCAATAAAGTTTCATGGCGATCTGCAATGTTACTGGCTACAGGACATATCTAAAAAGGCGTTTGTTCTTTATTTGAATAGTGGCAGCGAAGAAAGAATTGGAAAATGCAAATTTATTATCCATTTGAAGCAACTTTTCAAATTTCTTAACCCAGTTTCCTCCCACTGACATTATAAGATCTCAATGCGAAACGAGCCCACGGTGGATGTGGATTTTTTTAGGAGTAAAAGAAGAAAACTTGAACATTGCAGGCAACAAATAACAGAAAAATATACAACAGAAACGCATTTACGCTGACATGTGAATTACAGGCCTACTGAATTCAGCACGGGGACTATAAAAAGGATGTTGTACACTGTACATTGCAAGTGGGACGAGACGCCTAAACTGGACTCTCCCCATTGTTTCAACTGTTGTATACTATAAGCACGCTCCGAAATGGAAATAACCTTTAATCACTTGCCTTGTATATTTGTATAGCAGTAAGTGATAATTAGCGCAAACAACAACTACTACTTAAATATCTTATATATTTTACATTTGGAAATAAAGCTTAATTTTTAAAGACCCTATTGCATTTGCTCTGGCTTTATTTTACGGATGAATTCGGTCGCAGGTACCCTGATTTTAAGAGTGTATTAGGAAGGCTGGGAGCTAGGGGTTAGGGGAGAGGCCAACTTGACTAATCGCTTTTTGGTCGATTTTTATATCAAAACAGGCTGTTGTATCTTTCTCAAACGTTTTTTAAAGACAATACAGCAGCATAACATCGATGAAATTTTGCACTGGTGTCAAATTTCCAAATAAGGCAATGCCTATAGTACGTAATTAAGTAAGCCTATACATAACTTGCTATCACGTCTGTGCTGTTGTCAGATCTAAAAATAGACGTGACCTATTTAATAAGTGACTGCACGCATTTGACAGCTCGACTGTAGCCAAGGAATACAGGTACGAAACATCGACGATAGGTTCGTAATGACAATATTTTTTATGCTTTATAGGCACCATATGCGATGGGGCAAATGCACAATATCGTTATGCCTTTGTAGATCTAATAATATTTATATGTCATGGCCTTGCAACTATATTTTATAAGACTGTGGCAATTTGAGTACAAAATGTCGTCATTAAGACATGCATGTACATGTGTAATGTTTATTTCAAGATGTCAGAGACTTAACCCATGTCGTCCACATTTCCTCCAATATTGGCTATGGGTGAAAAGAATAGTAAGCGTAGACTGAGATTCGAGAGAAATGCCCGTTCGATCGGAACAGGTCCACTTGAAGTGAAAACGCGATCATCAGCTGATAAAGATCAGACATGTAGGAAGTAAATAGAAGGGGCGTAGAAGTGGGATGGGGGCGGGAAAAATGCATGCTTGGCCGGAAAATTAAGGCACACCCCTGCTGAAAATTAAATCATCTAGGTTTTATGCCATTTTTCCAGGATCCACTAATGAGGGGTAGACCATTCAGAATAAAGTAACTGGGTGCGACAATCCACCCTTACCTTCTCCTCGTGCTTCTTGTGCTTTAGACGGTAGTGACTGAAAAAAGGACTTTGGGCTGTCCATACTGATAACACGTTTGATAACAAGTGTTGTGTACATTCTTTCTCTACCTGCTTGGTCCAGGCGAGAGGAACAGTGTACATGTGTTTTTCACAAGGTTTTATATATTTCTCTGGCTGTTCATTAGTTGAGCACGTCCTTTTTTCACAACAACTACCAGTATGCCATCACCCAGATTACAGGTTTGGCTAGAAGATTATCGGTTTTTATATTCTTACACTTTTTAAATTTGCTGAATTAATAATTTTAATCTTGTATTAAGAGCAGCGATCTTGGGTTGGTCTGTCCATTTGCATATTGTCGTTTTATTTTGCAAATTGTAGGCAGTCTGTTCGTATGTCAACCTTGCCTGGCTTGTAAGCATTACAAAGCTATACGATGTTGAAAGAACGTCACACCATTTGACTTGCCTTTGTAGATGGTTGAAATAATGGATATCTCCCCAACCACTTCGATGCTGTTGGTTTTCGTCATCACATTCCTCGTGGTTTGGATGTGGAGAAGAAAAGAGAAGGTAGGGTGTTTAATTACGAGGAAATAATTTATTCTCCAATGGTAGTAACTTCTTTCATCAGTTATTACACAGAGAGCTCGAGAGGGAGAGAGAGAGAGGATGGGGAGAGGGAGTAAGGGAGAGAGAATTCAGTGTGTCTGTGGTTTATGGTATTGATACAGAAAAAGTTGAGGAGCTTCACGCGAAATTAAAAAAGATATTTCGATTAAATCTTTGCAACCAGCACCCTATTGCTTTATGAGGCTAGGTGGTTCGAGCTCTTTTCCGCATATGTGTATGCTGTGAATATCCGCAGAAAAGAACACGACATAGTCTGTATATGGTTCTCTACTCGAACCGTAGTTTTAATTGATTTATATTTATTTTCAAGCCGAGAGGAAACCTTCCACCCAACGAATGGTTCCCCTTCAGTGAGTTCTTAGGTGTGTTTGCGGAGCTGGATGTATTTTTAAAGAATATGCCGAAGAGCAAATCTCTGTCATATTTCTGCAATAAATTTACGGGAGATAAAGTCTTCATATTTAACAGCCACGAGCTCATCCACAAAGCTTTCGTCAAGAAAGGGCATTTATTCCTTGGAAGACCAGGTCCTTTTTTATGGGAGGAATGGGCTACACGGAATGGTAAGTTGTAAAGCGTGGAGGACAAAAGTTTGGAATAGAGATTTTTTTTGTTTACTTTGAATCAACGGACCAAAGATTTCAGTATTTGCTAACCTTCACACTTCTTGATGTTGCTATTTTGGATTTAACCAAAAAGGACTCGGCCCTCCATTCCTAGAACTAAATTTAAAATTCTTGTTATATAAGTACCTTTTTTTGGAAAGAAACTTGAACCATTAAGTTTATCTTTTCTCAAAGACTAGGATTTTTGTCTGTTTTGTCTCAAATATTAGATATTTTATTCTTGTTTTATAGCACAAAGAGGCTATGTTTATAATCATACGTTAAAAATGGAATTTATAATCATACTTAAAGAAAGGTCATTTGCACATGATGACATAGTGCAATATGTCATTTTAGTGCAATGAATACTCACGTGCCCCAAAGGCATAGACGCCGTAGCCAAATGTATGCACCAAACGATAAGTAGATTATTCAGCCCAAACTGTGAACAAATTCTCTTTCCTGTCTCACAAAGGTGTGGTCCATGGCATCGCCAATGCTACAGGTGAGCTGTGGAAACAACAGCGGAGATTTGCCCTGATGACTTTACGTGACTTTGGACTGGGGAAGACCTCCATCGCGGAGACTATCCAGGATGAGATAGGATATCTTCTTGACGAGTTCCAGAAATATGACGACAAGGCCGTAGATCCGCAGTATCTTTTGATGCCTGCCATATCAAACGTTACCATCTCCCTTGTGTTTGGAGATAGGTGAGAGTCACAAACCATATCCAGCTTTGCATTCATGTAAACCATATTACTAATTCTATGGATGAGGCCTCTTGAGTTTGATGTTTGGAGATATGTTGGTATTTTAGCAATGTACTGATATAGTTGTGTTAATTCCTTAAATATATAGAAAGTAAAATTGTGTAGAATGCACTAGTTATTTTTATATTACTATTTTAGAGCAATGAAGGTTGAATGTATATACAAACAATTCATTGTCCTGTTGGCAAAATATTAATTTACATTTGTTGATATTATTAATAAGATGGGCCTAAAATGTACAGCTAAATGTAATTTTCACTTTTTTCAGATTTCAATTCGATGATCCAAAATTCCAACAGATTCTGAAGAACATTGGAGAACAGTTTAGATATATAATGTATATAACGTTCATAACACTATTTCATACAAATAATATCATACCTTCAGTTTAATCAACATTAGACATCTACAATGTCAAAACTAACTGTTTGTCATTCTTCAAGTACACAGTAGTAACAAGTCGCTCTAAAATAATTGTATCGAGCAACTGTACCTTATTCAACAGATAATTTTATTGTAATTGTCTTGTTACACAAACCAGGAGTATTTTTTTAAAACTCCGCTGGTGGTTTCACTTAAGAACTCAAGACCGAACTTTGTCTTAAGTTTAAAACAAAATTTAGTCTGCTTCAATTCAGGACATGTGAGTAGTCCACTTCAGTCCACTTTTGATATTTTAAATTCTTGCTTTTTTATGAAACTGATCTGTGTTCTAGATAGAGAACTAGGTCGCAGGTCTGTGTAACCTATTTTTTTGGCCCGTCTTCCTTGGTGACAGACTTATTTTACCATATTTCAGGCGGGCACAAATAACACTCACGTATCCGATTTTGAAGTACGTTCCTGGAGACCCATTTAAAGTCCACTACTCTCTTAAATGCCTGGAAATTACACGAAAATTCCTCCAAGAGAGAATCCAGAAACATATGGCAGAATACGACCCGGATAACATACAGTGTTTCACGGATGCCTACATCAAGGTTTTAAAGGCTGAGAAAGACAAAGAGGGAACGTATTTTACTGGTAGGGAAATGATATTCTGTTTTTAATCTGCCATTTACGTAAATGTGGTTTCAGCTTTAAAACCGAACAAGGCAGCCTCTTGTTATGTTTTTATATGTACAAAAGTGTCTACTTGATTGAAGTGAATTGTCACAATATTCAATCACCAGTCTTCACATGTAAGCTAATAATTTTGGCTGCAAAACGTTTTTCACGATTTTAAAGTCCAAGACGTTTCTCCTATTATTTGTTTCAGAATTCCAATTGTTGACGATATTAGAAGAGCTGTTTACAGCTGGAACGGACACCACGGTGACCACTCTCAGATGGGGACTGCTCTTGTTGATTCTGAATCCAGACGTGCAGGAGAAGGTGGCTGTAACACTATTTTATATCTAGATCATAAATTTAACACTATTTTATATCTAGATCATAAATGCTGGTATATATATATATATATATATATATATATATATATATATATATATTGTACATATATCTATATGTTCTGATTATTTGTCCGTGCCGTCGCCGATGCCCTCGCTATCCAAACTTTATCTCACTTCCAACCCGTATTTTTGTTTTACTTTACATATTATGGGTTTCATTTTTGTTTTGCATGCAAACTTTTAATATACATTTATTAAAACTTTTTCTGTTATAAAGGTTCACGATGAACTTGACAGTGTGATAGGTTCCCGCCGTGTCTCCATGGAAGACCGTGCCTCCTTGCCCTATACGGAGGCCACACTGCTGGAGATACAGCGCCTTGGGTGTGTCGTTCCAATGGCGGGACACAGTAACACGGAGGATGTAGAGATGATGGTATTGGAATATTATATAATTATGAGGTCCTGGATTTTTCTTTCGTCGTCGTATTTTATTTTATTTTATTTTTTTAATTTATTTATTTTTTTTACACATAATGGCTTAGAAGTGCTCTTCTCCATAATGATGGTCTTTTTGTGTGAAATTAAATTTCTATTTTCACATTTTGCATTATTTTGAAGGCAAAAATGCCTTAACTTGATTTGCGTGTTGAAAATATAATGACATTTTATACATGTCAAGTGCCTTTTTTTCAGGGATATACCATCCCCGCAGGTTCAAACATAACGGCAAATTTTCTACGTGTCTTTCATGATGAGTCATTTTGGAACAACCCAAACAAGTTTGATCCAACAAGGTTTCTGGACGAGAGTGGGAAGTTGGGGAAAATTCCAGATTGCTTGACACCATTCTCTCTTGGTAGGTCTACCATTTGATTCAGCATGTTTATAACGGCGCCGGTGTAACGAAACTGAGGGTCTGTGTAACCTAAAGTCCGCCCCCNAACAAGTTCTCTTCAGATTTTATTTATTTTCCTTGCAGGCGGTCGTGTGTGTCTCGGAGAGTCCCTTGCAAAGATGGAACTGTTCCTGTTCTTCACCAACTTGCTTCAGCAGTTCTCGTTTAAAATACCCACCGGGGAAGAGAAACCGAGCCTCAAGGCTCGTATTGCCCTCTTGCGATATCCACTTCCTTTTAAGGTTGAAGTGCACAAAAGGCACTAAACTTCCACGTCTTCTTCAGTGAATGACACAATGCATGGCATTGATGTAACTCTCAAAAGACAAATGCAGAAACTAAATGTTAATGCTTATGGTGAAACAAAGTTTTGACTGATATTTTAGATCATTTGTAATCGATATCTCCATTCTTGTAATTTGTCAAATTAATTTAAGCTTCGTCTTCACTTTTAAGTACATAGCCTATATAGCATTTATTATTTTAATGTGACATGTGAATATATATAAATATGTATGTCACCGGCCAAATGGGCCTACAATTAAGTCATCGAACTTTGCACATTTATCAAAAACATGAAATTAAGGTTACAAGTTATAACAAGATCAAACCCGGTTAGATATATGGCATAATAGTAAATCTCAGTAGTAATTGCTGAAAATTTGTTTTCAGCAGGGTGGTTCAATATAGAATAGGTCACGAAGTGTGACAATGACTTTTCACTGGTGTCTCAAGGCAGTTGGGAGAGGTGAGTCGACAAAACCAATCACTGTATCCAGTAACTTAACAGTTTTTGTTTTAACAGCTTTAACATGTGTAGAGTCTGTTTAGGCCCCAGGTTTTATATGCGCCATACGTATTTCAGCCACTCTATATATGCTAGAGAGACAAGCTAAATTGTGGCATTATTTACATTCAAAATTCTCGCATTCTCTCATATTCTCGGAATATATTTAGAGAAAACTCAATCTGTGACCCCGGGAAGAGGGCAGATTTCAGGGGGTTGTGCAATACAGTAGATTATATCCACAGCCACGAACTTTTCTATCGGCGCCAAATTCCTAAAGGCAGTGTTTACATATTCATTGTTATCATGACCGGGTGAATGTTAAATCTACAAATAAACTTGACCTTAGATGTCACTCGAGCTTTGAACGCAGTCAAATATTGTTCAGGCTAGCTTATATACAGCTGGGTATTGCACAACACAGCCGCATCAGGTTGGTATACATACAGTATTTCATGTTGTTATGACACCAATTCCACTGAGGTGTACATATATATATATATATATATATATATATATATATATACATGTGTGCTACTTACTAGTATGTCTACTTGATGGTCTGTCAGTTAGGCTGCATTAGTGAGATAATTTCTATGCGAAAGTGATAGATCGGTTCATTGTGCTGCTACTACATATAGGTCTGACTAGGTCAGTGCGGGGCCGTAGCGATAGTCCGAAGGTTCAATAGTCCGAGGGTTCATTGGTCCGAATGTTCACTATAGAACCTTCGGACCAATGAACCTTTGATTAAAAAATCGATGAAAACGTTACCACTTTTCGGACCAATGAACCTTCGGACCAATGAACCTTCGGACTATCGAGACGCCCCCGCCGCAAAAGCAGATTTCACTATGTATCACATCACAGATGTTACCCCCATCGTCAATATTCCCTCCAAGTTCAGTCATCGCGTCCTAGTTATTATCGATTCGTTAGTTTCAGTGACACAACCAAAGGTGCTTATAAGTGATGGATACAATAAGAGTTGCCGAGCTGTACGTGAAATATTACGAGTGTATTATAGAGCCGCAGGGGAGACAAAACACGAGTAATTTTCACGTACAGCTCGGCGACGAGTGTTGTATCTGGCTTTAACCACAGCCTCTAATTGGCTACTACATTAGTGAGTAACGGGAGTGCACTCGTACATGACGTGCTTGTAGGTCGAATACAGCACGGCCGAGTCTTTTTTCTACGTGCTACCCGTGGTTTAAGAAGTAAGAGAGGGAGAGACTTCGTTCTGTTTGAGTAGAACAGCCTGGAAGCGACAAGAGAATGGACTTTGACTTAGAAGGCATTATTAGCATTGTTTGAATATAAACAAACAGTGAAAAGATAAGCTGCTTGCGATTGTGTGAGGTATTTTGCAGGGAGTGTTTCATATTTCCTATGGTAGCCTGCCCTAAATGGGATAAAAATATTTGTTTTAAACTGGTAATTTCACCTTTTACAATATCATAAAATCGTGATTGAGCAGATATGGGAGGACTAATGTGTGGGTTTTTGACACTTTTCAGGTAAGTTTTTCTAATATTTAAAATTTTTAAATATTTTAAATTTTTCTAATATTTTCATATTTAAAATTTTATTTCTATAAGCATTTTTACAGATGATGGGCCTAATGGACATCTCCCAAACCACTTCGGTGCTGCTCGTGTTCATCATCACGTTCCTCGTGGTGTGGTTGTGGAGAAGGAAAGAGAAGGTAGGGTGTTAACCGAAGAGTAAGCAACATACTAGGTATATCAGAAAAAATTTCAAACTGATCAGAAAACTATAATACTTATATCATCTGAAAGGTAATGCAAAAACCGGATGAAATCACTTGGAATTTTTTTAAATATTCCTACAAGCAACAAAGATATTGAAGTTTTTTAACTGCAAAAATTCACCAAAAGTGTCCACACTTTTCAGCTTAAAACCTGTCACTACTGACCAGCGGTGATCACTCAGCTGTAGCTGCAGCTCAAATTGCTTGTGACCAATTAGGGCAATTATGGCTGTATGTTAATCTAATGACCCGGAAACAAACCCAAATTGGCGACCGCACAAGCACATGGCTGGGATGGCTTCTGTGCAGATCATGTACTATAAATATTGCGCATCAAATAAACTATACTTCTCATGGTTTAATTTTCATGATTTTTCTACATAATATTGCAAATTTCATAAACTTTATTCGTTATAAATTTCAAAAAATTGTAACCAGTACTTAACTGATATTTTTCAGCATTTTGTCGAGGCAAAACTTCAAACGCCCTGAACTGAAACTTCTCAAAGACTGCAACACGGGAAAATCACGTGATCGGATTTTACTCTTTGATTTACAGCTTATTTAGTTAATGGCTTGTATTAGTTTTTTTACGCGGCGCTAACAGAAAGATTTTAAAAAAGGGGTGCCGTAGGCGAGCTGTCAGCAGGCCGATATCAGTTTTACACTTCACTGCCCTTGGATAGTTACTACTGTAGCGCCCCTAGCGGATTGTGATATACCTAAACATACTCCATATACAGAGAGAGAAAGAGAGAGAGAGAGAGAGAGAGAGAGAGAGGAAAGTTGAACACAAACTTTGGGGGGGGGGGATGAAAATATTAGTCTCTTTTTTCGCTTCCTTTATGCATTACATCTATAAATAATTCATTTGAAAGCTTAACATTTTGAAGAGGAGAAGGTATGATGTCTTTTTTAGTTGAAACATACTCACACACATCTTTATTTTGTTATATTTATTCATTAAGAAGCCAAAAGGAAACCTCCCTCCACGGCAGCCCTGGTTCCCTTTTGTCGAACTCCTCAGTTTATTCATGGACTTTGATGATTTTTCAAAGAAGATGCGAAATGTTAACCCTATCTTCAGGATGGGCAATGGATTCGCATGGAATGATAACGTGTTTCTAAACACCTATGAGCTCATTCACGAAGTTTTCATCAAGAAAGGACACTTATTCACCGGACGACCAACCCCATATCTGTGGAAAGAATGGTCCACACACAACGGTAAGTTGAATGTGTAGAAAACGAAAGCGAGGGGGTCTCTTTCCAATATGAAAGTGCGTTGAGTAGATTGATAATTCTGACATTCTGTCTCTTTTACACACAGTACACCTGACTTGATATTCGCTTTCTTAGTCCTAAACGTGGCTATGAAATATAACATAAGCGCTGAGCTTACGTTTTCCCTACGGTCAGATTTTAGTGTGAAAGGCTCGCCAAATGTTTTTTAAGGTAGTCACATTAAATTGCTTAATCTGAGTTCTCCCAACTTAGTTCTTGCAATTTACCAAGTTCCATTCAAATACGATGGGATGGGCAATACGTGAAACGTTAGTCTTGATACTCTTTTGTAAAATACGCTTCGTTTGTTTTCATGTATATGGATATGTGACGGTTGACTGGTAGTTTAGATAATATTTGTAAGGTTTATCGTATTATACTTCGCAAGCCCATGCTCTGTGAGCTATTTAATGGATTTTACTATCCATTATTCATTCCAATATGAGTATTTAAATGTTGTACAAATACTCAGTAGATTGCCTGACAGAATTGGCCCTAAGTATGAGCAAACCCGTTATTTTAACCCCCACAGGTGTGACTTACGGTATCGCCAGCTCTTCGGGTGATCTGTGGAAACAACAGCGGAGATTTGCCCTGATGACTTTACGTGACTTTGGCCTGGGGAAACGCTCCATCACGGAGAGGATCCAGGATGAGATGGGATATCTTCTGGACGAGTTCCAGAAATATGAAGGCAAGGCCGTAGATCCGCAGTACCTTTTGATGCCTGCCATATCCAATGTTACCAATTCCATCGTGTTTGGGGATAGGTAAGCCATATATATGTGTTCATAACGAGTGAATGGTAAGAGTATAAGCACGCACACATGCGCACAAACACGCAAGCTCGCACGCACACATGTCGATGTCACGTAATTTGGAGACTGTGAAAGCAAAGTCCACAGTTTCAGAAATTGATTGTCCTCATCAAAATACAGCGCCCCCACCCCCACCCCCCACCCCACTCCCAAACATGACAGGGATTCCACGTAATAGAGAGTTCCCCGGATTCACTATTTCACGGATTTCTGTCGCGTGACACCGGACTCTACGTCACGTATTTTAAAGAATTCATAACATAAACATAATTGGTATAATATTGCTAGACATTTTAGAATAGGGCCTACATATTCAGTGATAATTGCGATCTGTTACAGACATGTTAAAAGTAAGAATCCAATGGACCAAAGTAGTTCAGTTAATGTGATAAAAATATATATCTGGAAAAATATAAAAAAAATATATGTAATTAAAACATTGAATTTTTACATGGTTTTCAGATTTCAATATGATGATCCAAAGTTCCAGAAGGCCATGAAGAATATGAAGGAGCAATTTAAGTATAACATGTAAACGATGTTCTTACCGTATACAAATTATTTCTTCAGTTTTAACAACATATATCTATTATTTGTGACACTTAAAATAATGTATAAAGTCTTGTAGCATCCAGTTGCCCTCTTTTCTCCTCCACCTAAAATATTCTGGCAAATCATGCAGGCTCAAAATTTTGTTACTCTACACCTGTCGGCAACGCATACAGTTTCTTGCTTTTCATATTATTTACATTCCAATAACATATTAAACACAAAAGAGCTTTATACGAAAATTTGTCTTACGTGTAGCTTTACATTTTTGGCTACTTTATAGTTTATTAGTTCGGGATGGGTTTTATTAGTTCATAGGTGTTAAAATATTGTTCGCCTTGAACATAAGCAGTTGTTTCGAGTCCATACAATTTTTCAATATTTCAAATGTTCCACAAATAATGATACATCTCGGTTAAAATTTTGGTCCAAATTTTAGATTATATTTATGCCTAAATTTTCATCTCAAATGTTGAGACACCAGTCTGTGCATTGACCTAGATAAGGGTCAAGGTCATATGTCTACATCCGTCTGTGTAGCGTAATGTACCTAGCAGTCTTCGTGAAATACTGATGTAATGTATGAATTTACTTTTTAGGTTGGCACAACATGCTCTCACGTATCCGTTTTTGAAATACATTCCTGGAGACCCATTTAAATTCCACTACTCTATCAAATGCTTGGGAATTCAGCAGAAATTCCTCCAAGAAAGAATCCAGAAACATATGGCAGAATATGACCCGGACAACATACAGTGCTTCACGGATGCCTACATCAAGGCTTTGAAGGCTGACAAAGACAAAGAGGGGACGTATTTCACTGGTAGGAAAAAGAAGAAAGGGAATAATATCTCATATCGTGTACCATTTAAAAATAAAGTAAAAATGTCCACTTGATAGCCTTCAGATTGCCCAAAGTTTCCAGATGTCCATGAATTTACAAATTTGGCTAAGCATCCAGTTTTGCCTGAAACCATACAAACAAACATTTTGACAAGAAAAAAAGGTGGTTTGGGCAGTTTCGAACAAAGGTCTATCACTGTACAATGGGAGAGACATTGGGCCGCTACAGTCATCTACTTTTCATTTTTTGATTTATTGCAGACCTTCAGATGTTGACAGCGATAGAAGAGCTCTTCGTTGCTGGCACAGACACTACCTCGGCCACTCTTAAATGGGGGCTGCTCTTGCTGATTCTACATCCCGACTTGCAGAAGAAGGTTGTGGCATTTTATTATTTTATAAAAATAAATAAAGGAAGTAACAGTCCTGACAATTATTGCCTATGTGATTATCTTTGACTGATTTTACGTCTGCTTATTTCTATTTAATCATTGATGTCTTTTTACCTCTTACGTCTCTCAATGTAATCTTTGACAGCCTTTTTAGTTTTTATGGACCTTATTTCACTTTTCTGTTCTGAAGGTCCACGATGAACTTGACAGTGTGATAGGTTCCCGCCGTGTCTCCATGGATGACCGTGCCTCATTGCCCTATACGGAGGCCACACTGCTGGAGACACAGCGCTTCGGGTGTGTCATTCCCATGGCAGGACACAGTAACAGCGAAGATGTTGAAATTATGGTAATGAAATACTATATTTAATACAATTTGCCTTCTCTAAACAGTCCTTTAGTTCTAAAAGCACACGACGATTGCTAGATCTTCAAATAGCAAGATCTTTATCTTCCCAGAGAGTTTTACACTATTCCCTTAATATATTACCAATGTATGTTTATAACAGTTGACATAATTACGCTTCATAAAACCCGTTTTCGAGGTTTAAATTTCTGGATTTAGAGTCACTCTAGTATACGTAGTGGAGATAGAGAATGTTAAATATTTATCCTGGCGGTTGAACATTAGAAATTCAAAAACTCGTACACGGATTTGCATAGATCGTAATTTTTCAACAATACTGGATAAGGCATGCCATTTTGGAAGGGAGGCATTTGCTGATGGTTCCATGAATTTCTCTTTGCTATGGCAAATTAAGGTTTAAAACACATTGAATGTTTTAAACAAATAGTTCCATACAACCACTCCATTATAATTGGTACATAATTATGACACTTTTTATGTCACCAAATTATTACCTGTGTAAATACTGGGTAAATACTTAGAAATAAGAAGAATGTGTAGGCCTCTCTAACTATTACAAAGCGTCTACAACGAACTTAAGTTATGAAAGCAGCTTAAATTACATGCACGGTAATTCAGTTGGTTCATTGAAGGAAGTTGGGGGAGTAAAAACTTGCTTGTATACTTAATATATATATTTTATACTTTAACCTCTCTCTCTCTCTTTTTTTTTTTTTTTCAGGGTTATACCATTCCTGCAGGGTCCAACGTTACCGCGAATTTCATGGGTGTCTTTTTTGATGAGGAATATTGGAAGAACCCAAATGAATTTGATCCAGCAAGATTTCTGGACGACAGCGGAAAATTAGGGAAAATTCCAGATTGCCTGACACCATTTTCTCTTGGTAGGTGTAGTCTATCATTTGATTCAAAATGTTTATATAATAACGCAACTAAATATATTCTGAAGACATTTATAGTACGATATCTTTCCGCCAGTAGAAGATCCTAACATATCTCCACCTTAATTTTACATGGTATTTGAAAGTGGTTGCTATGTGTTCTGTACGTTGCGTATCTCATATTTGTCTCTCATTGAATAAGAAAAACCTAAAAATAAAAGCGACACATGCGCAAGCAGTAATGCTGTCATCCTGACATCGCATAAAACGCACGTCAGTAGAAAATTTTCAGCTATGAGGGTCAGAATGAAGAATAACATCACAGAATGCAATTCTGTTTATATTTGCGCAGTGGCAACCCTACATATCTTAACTCACCTTAATCACGAGAATTTCCTAAATCAATCTTGCTGCCAAAAATGTAGAGACAGGTGATAACTTACAACAGGCCGTGGTGGCCAAGTGTCTTATAAATTAACACAGAAAACTCACTAACAGCTTAGAAAAGAGATTTACTCCGCTCCGAGTTAGCTCTGTTATACAAGGTCAGCTAGTACATGTTCGCCAGTCAGAGCAAGTTATACAATGAACAGTTTTACCTGTAAGTTACCAATCAGAGTAGATCATGCAACGTTACAAGAAGAGATTCAAACTTGCACACCGGACTGTACTTTACTGATAGAGACATCTACCCGTAGCAATACAAAACAATTTCAACTAACACGGTACATCGTCACACTATCTTCTCAAATGATTTTTGTTTTATATTTAATTTATTTGTTTTTCTTTCAGGCCGCCGTGTTTGCCTCGGGGAGTCCCTGGCAAAGATGGAGCTGTTCCTGTTTTTCAGCAGCTTGCTTCAGCAATTCTCGTTTAAAATACCCGCCGGGGAAGAGAAACCGAGCCTGAAGACCACTTGGACACTCGTGCGGTCTCCAGCCCCCTTTAAGGTTGAAGTGCACAGAAGGCGCTGAATATCCCTGTGCTCTTCATTAAAAAATTATTATATATTATATTAATTCAATTCAAATCTACAAAGACAGAGAATTAGGCTTCGTTCACATGAAAAATCTATTTTCTATTCGCGGTATCTTGTGATCACGGTCTGTGCCCTGAATACCCCGCGGCGTAAATACTGGCAGCGCGGGCCAGTTACTTCCAAAGCTGTAATTAATTCTCGGCTGCGCTCGGAGTGATCACAAGATACCGCGAATAGAAAATAGATTTTTAGAAAATAAATTTTTCATGTGAACGGAGTCTAAGAGCTTTTGCTACATAGTGCAGTGCCTCCGAATTCTAAGCTTACTTACCTTGCGCTGTGCTGCGGGTTGTTCCTGCACCCTGTAGCGTTAATCATGGAAATTATATTGTCGTCCATGCGGCCTTTTCTTTATTTTTACAATAGAACCTTGCTTTAATGATAATAGTAGATTTTGAAATATTAGAGATGTATCCAGCTTGTGTTTAAAAACTAAAATAGGGAAGTTGAACTGGTTTAAATATATTTGTTTAGACGAAAACTTAGGGTCCTTTAGTGCTCTATACTTGGTACCTGGATGCATCAATAAATTAACTATAGTTTTAAGTCACATTTAATATTTATGTACAAGAACGCCAACCAACTGGTTAATTCAATGCGAAGGCGATGTTGCCTTGTGTTAGCCAAGCTGGGCAGAAATATTTCTTACTAACATGAAAATTTATTGATGCTAGTTTAAGACTTTGTAAAACCCAAAAAGCTATTATCCATTCTAATAAATGGCTTAGAATAATAAAGCATTATTTATCTTCTCATCACTTATTTTCGGTTATTTGAGTAATGATTTCAAAATTTCCCACGAAGATTAAAACATGTAGGTATTCGGTATCGCGTATATACGTTACATAAAAAAAAATCTATACACCCATTAGTCTGGGTTGTGATAGTTTGCAAAAGGACTGTCACAAACATATCAAACAAAGGGTTTGGAAAATCGAGCGCTGGTTAGAAGAGAGACAAATCCGTGATAATTCCGGAGAATTGAATACAACATTATTCCTTAAGTTGATTAAGATGGAACCAAAATCGAGGCAGATTTCAAACAAATCTTTGCTCTTGCCAAGGGGGATGCTTCGTTTTCCAAAGAGCTCGAGGCAAGCCTCTTTTAAACAAATGTTTACATAATGAAATTGTTTATCGTTAATTTCACCACATTCAAGGCATTTACGTCTAGCTAGTTCATAACATGTCCGCCGCGGTATTTTAAACTGGCAAAAATGAAGAAAAGTGATTTAGTAATGTTCTTAGCATGGGGAATTGTCGCGGGTAAGTCATGTATATATTTACTTCATTAAAAAGACGCATTGGCTCTAAAGACTGGCCTCCATCAGGTACAATGTATTCCAATAACACCCTTGTAATTATGTTATCATTATCAAAACCGGCAAACTGCGAGAGAAAAGGACGTATTTTAAAAGGTAATTCTCATCTGAGAAGTCCTTTATTAGGTGAACTGTGGATAGTTTGTTACCTCACATTTGTACTTAAATTACCCAGAGAAAGATCCCTCAAAAATAAGACCTACACCTATTACAGGGGTGCCTGTAGTGGGGCAGACGAGTTTCCTCCATTGCAGCCGCAAAAGGGGCTACAGATACGGAGGAGAGAACGATATATATTCAGTAACGACAAGCAGTGCGACAGAGTGCGCGGTATGGTGTTTAAAGCGGTCCGTGTGCCAGGCGTTCAACTTCAAACCATCAGCCCGCCTGTGTCAACCGTATTTAGGCTTTAATGCAAGTGATTACACCTATGGTATTTTGATGGATTCGGAGTGGGACCTGTGGGTGTCTAAGGTAGAATCTCTCTCTCTCTCTCTCTCTTAAACACACACACACACACACACACACACATACGTTCTAGACGTCTGAAAATCAGGGCCTGTATAAACACCACTAATTTCGCCAATTCTACTCATTTACTCGTATTTTGCGCTGTTTAGTTCGATACTCATACTTATGCTAATGGTACGTGATCATTTTGATTTAAACAAAGCACATATTACATTTTCGGAGTGTGGTAATACCAGGGTATTAAACAATACCTCGCCTCCAGACAATATTTCTATTAAACGCAGGCCCGTGGGGAGAGGGGTTCAAGGAACTCGAAAGAACTGCTCCCTTTAGTCTGGAAAGGGTTCACTCTGAATATAAAATTAAATTGAGTCCATAACATTTTATTTAATTCATTTATTTATTTATTTATCTGACTATTAATTAATTTATTTGTTTATTTATTTATTTATTTTTCAGATTGTATCAGACAAAAATGGCTTCACAGGTATGATGATTTTAATTTCAAACTTATTGTTTTGAATTTTGTAAATCATGTTGTTTTACTTCTTATATTACAAATGCTTTTTTTTTTTTTCATACCTGCAAGTTTAAAGCACTAAATGCACTATCCCTAAATATTTGATAAAATATATGTGCCTCAGTTCATATGATTATTTTATAATTATTTAAAAAGTTTGTTTCTGAACTTTTTTGGTCGAGTGCATATGCACAATTAAAAGTGGCGTGCTCAATTCGTATTTCTAAACAAATACATTAACAAATTGGCAGGTGAGTAAATTAATTAATTCATTAAATCATTAATGATGATCTGTTATAGCCCCAATCAACTTGGCTGCGAATCCTTCCTTTGAAACTGGGACGACTGACTTCTATCAACCATTCTACACCTCCTTCACTCCGACCAACACGATGGCCCACACTGGGCAGTGGTCAGCAAGGGTTAACTGTTCAGGGACCGGTGGGGTGAGACAGAAGGTGACGTTCCCGAGCGGGTAGGTCTTACTTTGTCTGTTTTACTTCTCTCTGGCCACGGGGAGTCCTTGTGCCCTAGGTTCTAGATTTCGGTATTGCCAGCTCGATTTTGATTTCACATATAACCCACATCAGCAATACCGACTCTAGCCACCACCTGCCAAAAAAAAGATCAGTAAAAGAATTTTTCGTCTATTTCAGTTCAATTAAATCAATGTCATAATCTACTCAAGTACAGTAAGCAATGTCCTGAAAGACTATCGTTGTCTGTCTTGTTATAAAACAGACACAATGTTTTGTTAATGTTTATTTTAAAGTCTGTTTGCATTTATTTACAGAACTAGATTCCTCACAGCTTCCTTGTGGAGTTTCGCTAACGGCGTTACCTTGCAAGAATCAAACGACTTCTCTCTCTATGTGGACCTTTGGGTAAGTTAAAAATTTTAGATAGCAAAATTTTCTCCTCAATCACAAAAGCATACCGTACCCAAAAGCGCAGGATTGCATTCTCTTATTAAATCGTTTTTTTTTTAGTTTTGAGTCACGTTTGTCATGCATAAGACATAGATAAAAGCTGGTGAATTTTACATGTGACTGTAAGAATTAAAAATTCAGAAGACGAAAACGAGTTTATACATATAATTTTTCAATTAGACTAAATGGTATTGAATAGCGTTAGTATAGGCACGTTTACTATGGTGATAAAGAGGAAATTGAGAAAAGAAAAAGGTGTACATAAAAGACAAACTTACAATGTATTTGCAATGTATTTGCATGTCTTAAAGCAAAGCACGTACACGAGTTTCCCTTGCCTGGCTATTACCAGGAAGTAGCCATTGTGTGCGAAGTAAAAAAAAGCTATTCTGATAACAGGCTTTGTTCCACTTACGTACCTGCCTCTGCAAGGTTCAGAATAGGGTGGCACATGACCCTCCCAGATTTTGATAAAAATTGGTGCATTTGTTCTTGTAAATATTCATAAATCTAACGCGTAAAAGTCATCCAACTAACAAACGTAAAACAAAATCAATCAATGACGACATCGATTAGAAAAAGTTATCTTAGAAGCATAAATTATGTTTCCATTATCATTTATGTGTTTTATATATTGTAATGGGATTGTGGGCGGAATATATGCTAAAACGCTTTTTAGAAACTTTCCAGTTGGCAACGACGTCAGGATAATCATGATTAGCCTTTTTTACAAGTTTAATATGAGTTAAAAACAAAAGGGATATGCAGTTTATTTTTGTGTCTTTTAAATTAAGAATATCGTCTGCGTCTTTGCTGTCTCTGTATATGTGATATTTTGTTCCAAAATGCATTTTACAAATAGCAGATGACAAACGCACAGACAAAATTCTTTAACCAAAAGGCGATGTGTAGAGTTGAAGATTAAGTCCACGATCACGTAGTAGACCTTATGCACATATTGCGTAAATATCCGTTATCAGGCTCACAGATAGTGATATTTCAATAGATACCCGCATATGTCTACGGCTATTTCATGAGACACTGGAGAAAAATGCACATGATTAATCTGCTGCCCTGGTAGAGGGTACAAATCGTGTACCCAGCGGGTAAAAATCGTGCACCAGACGGGTAAAAATCGTGTACCAAGCGGGGACAAATCGTGTACCAGCCAAAAGATAAAATCAAATAAATTTTGAAATTATATTCATCATAATTTCTCTTTATCTTCCATATATCCCTACAGCTCAGCAATGGCACTTGGGTGTGGCAAAACACCGCCAGCTTCACCCCCGGGACTTCTGCCGCGTGGGAACAGCGCGTGGTGACGGTCACCTCTGAAGTGGACATGGACTATGCTCTGGTCCATGGCTTGTGTAGACGTCGGTCTGGGGAGGCATTCTTTGATGACATGGTAGTCACTGCTAGTCCTTAAGGTCCGTCCGGAAAACACGCTTAGAAATGAACATGCTATTCCAATTTTGCGAGTTTAAAATATGTTTGGAGTGTCAGGAACGCCAAATGTCCCAAAGTGAATACTGCTCAGAAGTCAAACAAGTCCCTTCAAAACTGTCAAGGTCAAATTTGCAGTATTACCGGCAATATAGGTTTACCTAATTGGTTAGAAGGTGCAAATTGTCCCAAAAGGATAAATAATTATATGCTTTTCACTGTCGACTTACAAAAAATGGCTCATTTAGTTTGCTTAACGGTATTCAATATTTATTATTTTATATTTTAATAAAATTTATAAACAATCATTACACTTGCGATTATGGAAATGATTTGAAACGATATTGATTACGAGTGATGTGTTCTTTTGCTGGTACCTTTATGGTCGAGGCTTTGTGAATATGGGTCTGGACTAAATATGGGCCAGGGTATTATATATACTGATTCGTGAAGGCAATCTTTTTGACCATATCTGTATTAATTATTTTAAAAACCAAACTTTTTTATTTTGAAAATAATGTTTGCCATCTGAAAGCAAATTTCATTTTAAAAGATTCAGTGAACTGTCTGAGAACGACGCTCATACTGTTATTACTGCGCGTCACATAGGCTGCTACTTCAATCAGTCCTTTGTCTTCATCAGTGAATGTCTAAGCAACGCCATGCTATACGATTTATTTCACCATTTCTTTTTCATTTTTTAACATGCATATTTATAGTTCGTCTGGTCGACGAATGGTCTACAAATTCCATATAGTTGAGTTCTTAATCTGTGTTCTCTGCAATTACATTTTTTTTTTAATTTTTATTTTGTGAGCACAAGGCTTTATAAGTTAGAAGTATTTACTCAATTATGTTATGTTTCAAAGCGTTGAATATGATAGTTTAAAATGGGAAATACAATGGTTTTAGTCCGCTATTGATAGAAGTCTTGAAAACGCATTACTGGTACACTTTTTATGCATTTAAATGCAGCTTTGGAAGCTGGTATTGATCGTTACGAAAGAAGTATATAAAAGACGATCAAATTCCAATTCAACAGAGCTTCCTATTCATTCAATATCTCCTTTGACAAGTAAAACAGAACACGTTTAGGTGATTTTCCTGCAGTGGCTATTTGAATAAAGCCCTTTTTATCAATTTTGCGCACACAATTATAAAACCCTCGCTTGTAATGCTATTTTTAACATTTGTAATAACATTTCTTTTAAACTACGATGTTTGCACATTGAAAACCGATCAATTGAGGCGATTGTTCCCAGGTTATAATTAGATGTTTTGAATTCACATGTGATTATACCATATTCTGTTAATCATTTTCGTACATCTCATTCCATCTGGATTGTTTTTAATCAAACGTTGATGTCTTGAATGGCCATGTCGAAAAAACTATCCAAGACATCAAAACATCAATATTTCTTTAGTCATTAATTTTTCTGTAATTATATTGTGAATATCAATTTTACATTGGAATGGTTAAATCCTTTCTGTAGAAGTAAACCTCAATTTTGATGTGGTTGCTATGTTCTACTAAAAAGAATCTGTCATACTACATGTACCACTGGTTTATTGACCTTTTTTCGTGTTGGGAAGTAATAAAGTCCATTTTAACCCCAAAAGTTCTAGTTGGCCAGTTTTTGCAGTCCTTTCTGTAGGATTAAAACTCATTTTAGAGGCGATTGCTGTGGTCTACTTCTCAGAACATGCCATATGTACTCTGGTTTTATGACCCTCTTTGTATTGGGATCCAATATATTCACTTCAAAACCACAAGACTCAAATTCGCTAGTTTTTACTGCATGAACAATGGTGCACTTGGTGGTTGCTGATACTTTTTCACGTAAGGGAATCGGCTCTTCGATTATTATAACTTAATAACATTGTAAAGCTCTACTTTTTAACGGCAAATAATTACTGCCATAAGTTAGGTCATACTGAATTCTTAACATGTAAAGATGTTAGGCCATCTTTCCTCTTGACATTATCCTTTCTGGTCTTCTGTTTTATTTACTTACTTTTATCAAAAACTAGAAAAGCACTCCGAGAGCGCAGACCTCCGCCAATCTCCACCCAATGACGTTTCACCCCTAAATTTTCATTCTATAATGGTTAAGTTTTTTTTTTTTTTTTTTTTTTCATTGTTGATTATTGATAGATTATTGATTCAGATCACCACCAAAAACTAATCACTTCTAGGTTAACCCATTTCTGAAATACCCTGAAAATTCCATCGAAATTCATCCATAACTTTCTGAGTTGATGACAAACAGGCAGACAGACTGAAAGACAGACAGACAGACAAACAAACAGGGGTGAAAACATAACTTCCTTGGAGGAGTTAACAAGTACGTGCTTTTCCTTTTTTATTGAGATTTTATGTAAAATCTTTTTAATTATTTTACAAACATAATGTAATATAAAAGTAATGATAATATATGACATTACTTAGAATCTCTAAAACCAAGCCGCGCATTCCGCGCAAATACCCATTCTACAGAATACATAATATTTGTAACAACCTTTTTCAAAGCTTCTACTTGTACTATGTACATGGTCGATCACTTCAATAAAGGTTATTTATAAATATATCGTTTCTTCGTATAACTAAGATTTACAACTAAGATTTACAACAAGTTATACAATGAACAGTTTTACCTGTAAGTTACCAATCAGAGCAGATTACGCACGTCACAGGAAGAGATTCAAACTTGCACATCTGACTGCATGTACTTTTCTAATAGAGACATCTACCGGAAGCAATACAAAGCAATCTCAACTAACACAGTACATCGTCACACTATCTTTTCAAATGACTTTTATGTTTTATTTTTAATTTATTCGTTTTTCCTTCAGGCCGCCGTGTTTACCTCGGGGAGTCCCTTGCAAAGATGGAGCTGTTCCTGTTCTTCGCCAGCTTGCTTCAGCAATTCTCGTTTAAAATACCCGCCGGGGAAGAGAAGCCGAGCCTAAAGACCACGTGGACACTCGTGCGGTCTCCAGTACCCTATAAGGCTGATTTGCACAGGAGGCGCTGAATATACCTGTGGTCTTGATTGAAAAAATAATATACATTCGATTATTGTCATTCAAATCTCCAAAGACAGAAGAAAAAAGCTTTTGCTACATAGTGCAATGCCGCCGAAATATTAGCTCACTTATCCTACGCTGTGCTGGGGGTTGTCCCTGTGCACTGTCGCGGTAACCGTCGAAATTACATTGTCGCCCATGTGGCGTTTACCTCATTTTAACAATAGAACAATAGAACTGGTTTTTAATATATTTGCTATGACGAAAGCAAAGAGCCCTTAATTGCTCTATGCTTGGCACATGGATATATCAATAATTGAATTATGGTTTTAAGTCACAGTTAATATTTATGGACAAGAAAGCCAGCCCGCTGGTTCAATCAATGCGAAGACGCTGTCGGCATTTGGTGGCCAAGCTACGAAGATATATTTCTTACGAACATAAAAACAACTTAAATTCCTGCTAGTTTAAAACTTTGATTAACCAAAAGAAGGCAGGCATTATTCGTTCAAATAAATGGCTTAGCATAACAAAGCATTATTTATTTTCGAATATTTTTTCCGCCAAAACTAAGTAATGCAATCAAATTTTCCTGCGAGTATAATGACATAAAGGTATTTGTTACCGTATATATGTTACGTACAAAAATCTATACATCCATTAGTCTGGGTTGTAATAGTATACGAAAGGCCTGTCGCAAATATATATATATCATACAAAGGGTTTGAAAAATCGAGCGCTGGTGAGACAAAGAGACAAATACGAGGTAAACCATGGGGGGTGGGGGGGAAGCTAACTGAGGTGACAAGGCCAAACGATTATAGACTCTAAGGTGGGTAACGAGAGCCCGCGTAACTTTAGCCGACGTAAAAATCTATGATAATTCCGGAGAATTGAATACAACATTACTCCTTGAGTCGATTAAGGGGGAGCCAAAGTCGAGGCAGAATTCAAAAAAATTTTTGCTCTTTCCAAGGGGGATGCTTCGTTTTCAAAAGAGCTCGAGGCGAGCTTCTTTTAAAAAAATATTTACATAATGAACTTGTTTATCGTTAATTTCGCCACATTCAAGTCATTTTACGTCCAGCTGGTTCATAACATGTCCACCGCTGTATTTCAAACTGGCAAGAATGAAGAAAAGTGATTTAGTAGTGTTCTTAGCATGGGGAATTGTCGCAGGTAATTCATGTATTTACTGGCCTCCATCAGGTATTCGAATAACACCCTTGTAATTATGTCAACATTATCAACACCGGCAAACTGCGAAAAAAAGACGTATTTTAAAAGGTAGTTCGCATCTGAGAAGACCTGTATGAGGTGATCTTTTTAGTTGGCTTTATACCTTTTTATTGTACTAAAATTTCCAAGAGAAAGATCCCTCAAAAATGAGACAGTACAGGCAAGTGCAAGCCTACACTTATTAGCTACACTCGCTTTACAGGTGTATCAATAGCAGGGCAGACGACTTCCCTTCATTACAGCCGCAAAAGGGGCTACAGGTATGGAGCAGAGAACGATACGCATTCAGTAACAACAAGCAGTTCGACAGCGTGCGCGGTAAGGTGTTCAAAGCAGTCCGCGTGCCAGGCGTTCAACTTCAAACCAATGACCGGCCTGTGTCAGCCGTATTTAGGCTTTAATGCAAGTAATTACAGCTATGGTATTTTGATGGATTCGGAGTGGGACCTGTGGATGTCTAAGGTAGAATCTCTCTCTCTCTCTCGCTCTCTCTCACACACTCCCCCTCACACACACACACACACACACACGCGTCCAAAACGTCTAAAAATCAGGACCAGCATAAACACCACCTTATTCTAATTCTATGCATTTACTCGTATTTTATGTTTTTTAGTTAGACACTCATGTTTTTTTATGATTTTGGTACATTATAATTTTGCTTTTGTAATTTTTTTAACAAAAGCACATGTTGAGCCCATGCGCAAGTGTCATTTTTATTTTCATATTTTTTGCAGAGTGTATCAGACAAAAGCGGTGACACAGGTATGATCATTCCAAATGTGTTGTTTTAATATTTTAAAATCATGCCATTTTGCTTTTAACATTTCAAATACTGTATTTTT